TTGTCAACAACTATCTTTGCTCTGTACTGAAGATCAGATGGCCGGGTTGGAAAGAATCACCAACAATAAACTATGGCTGGGAAAAAAACAAAACAAGAACCAATCGCGAACCAACAAATATGCAGGAGATGGAGTGGAGATGGATTGAACACTCGCTGAGGAGGTCGCTGGGTGAAATCGCGTGCACGTCAGGCCATTGCTCGAGTGGAACCAGGCCGAAAGGGAAGCGGCGAGTGGGACGACAGTGCAAGGGTGACATGGAGGAGATCGTGTGAAGAGAAATTGAAACAGTATGGACTAACATGGATGGAGGTGAAAAGTACAGCAGAAGACAGAAGCAAGTGGAGACGTGGAGTTGAAGCCCTATGTTCCACTAGGAACCCAAAGGAACAATAATAATAAAATAAGCCCTGAAGTATTAGGAAATATATATCATCAACTTATTCAAATCATTTAAGTAGGAAGGATCACCTGACTCATGATATTTGTCCAAACAACAATCATGTATTGTATTATATGCCCACAAATTATTTCAAAATAAATTCATTAGATTTGGAGTTATGTGATTGGACATGAAAACAGTTAAACTTTAAGCAGCACCAACTACCAATCAGTAAATGACCTCGAACGCACTAATCACCTGAAAGAGGCATTTTTGTGTATGGAACACATATATTTATGAAAAAAATGCATAAAAACTGTATACAAGAGTTACAGAGGATACCCTGCTCTCAAATTTGATAATAATAACTCTCAGTTTTAGGTTGGAGTATCAACGGAGTGTAATTCCATTGCAGGTAAAATTTCTTTTGATAAAGTCTTACACTGTTAACCAGTAACATTTACTGGACAATAAACTGTGCTCGAAACGTCATCAGTAAATAATACTGTATGACACTGTGAGACTTTATCAAAATAAATTTTATCCACAGTGGAATTACACTCTACCACAGTGCACAAGTTCTATTCTTATATCAACAGAGTAATTTGACCACATTCTGTACAGGTTATTATTTAGGTCTTCTAACCCTAATCTTTACTAAACCTAATCCTAACGTGAAAATATCCCCAAACTAACTTTAATCTATCCCGAACTAAACCTAATGTCACCTTTTACAGGTTAACCTAACCCTGAATTGTTCTTCGCCCAAACCATAACTTAATCTTTTCCAAACATAAGCTAAAACTTCCCAGATATCCCATTTAATAACCTGACACTTCACTTGGACACTAATAACTAATGTGATGTGTCTAGTCCTTTCTTTGGCGCAGACTGAATTGTATCAGACAGGTTTTGCATTGTGGCCACCATTCAAGGTAGTTCGCCATCACGGCGCACATCTGACACTTCGATGAGCATGTTCAATTGATGGCGACAACATTACTTGTCAGGTTTCACTAACTTGCTCAGTGACTGTTTCAACTTCATTGGTGCGGTCGCACTCCATTGGTAGTTAGGGGTGCCTCAAGTTTAACTTAACCAGTTAACTTACTCTGAATGAATTTAGTGATACTTCCAACAAAAGGCTTATTGCTGCAAAAAAGGTATATTTCAAGGTGGCTGTGTTGTAAAACTCACAAGCTAGCATTCATAGAAAACCGATACACACTTTAATGAACACTTGAAGCCTAATTCACCCCAAGCGGAATCGGTTAGGTGAGGTTTCGTTGAATTTTTATGTAATTGGACCAGCAGCCTAACTAGTAAGTCAGAGGATCAAAATGAAGAAATCAAATAAATAAGAAAAAATATCTCTAGCGAATAACTACTGCTCACTAGAATATATACAGAAATATATGGAGACTCAAAGGGAAGATAAGTGTCGTTATAGAAATGATTAAAGTAACAGAAACAATATGGAATTCAAAGCTTCTGTAGTTTTGTCATATGAAGAAGAGACATCAGGGTCCCTACAGAATTTTTATTTATATTCCACCACACTGCTCAAATTCTACTGTTAAATTGCCTACATTAGTCCTACAAACTATTAATGTTTATATAGATTTCTATGATGATCGGTGATAAAAATCCCCTTCAAATTACCAACAGTGGTGTTGATTGAGCAATAAAGATGGATTTGAAATTATTTAAGCGGTTTCCAACTGTCAAACAATCCTGAGCAACACATTTTCGAACAAATTAACTCAAAGATGGAGGCAATTCAATTCATTTATGAAATGGAAAGTCAGGAAGGACGGGGAGCTTGCAATATTATATTGCAAGGTAAAAAGAAAAGAAGATGGGAAGTTAAACACTAGTGTTTACAGGAAACCCACACATTCAAACGGATATTTGGACTTCCGATCATCCCATCGTATGTCAGTAAAAATAGGATTAGTGAAATGTTTAGGTGACAGAGCACGAAAACTAAGCAGTACCAAGGAAAATCTAAGGCAGGAAGTGATACACAAAAAAGAAGCCTTGAAACTTAATAATTACCCAGATAACCTAGGAAATACGTAAGAAAATGTAAAAAATAAAATAAATTGTGATATTAGTGATAATAATAATGAAAATAATAATAATGACGACATGTATGTCAAATATGTGCAAGACAACACCAACAATAAGGAATCTCAATCATCAGTAGTAATTCCAAACAAGGAAGGGACCTCGGAAACCTCACGCCGAGTTCTCAACAAGGCAGGAATAAAAAAGGTCAGCATTCAAACCCATTAACTCAAGTAGAAACAAGATTTGTCGATTAAAAGATCAACCGTGTGAATCCAATAAAACAAAACAATTTAGTTTATCTAATACCCTGTCTGACAGGATAGTCAAGTGAAATACACGGGTTAAAGTAGTAGAACAGGGGCAGTCAGTCAGACTAGCTGAGCATAAAAACCTAGCTAAGTCTAGATTAGTTGACCCGAAACTAAGATAAGAAATCTAGAGAATAGTTCAGCTATAGCACTCACCACATACAATTGCGCACAAACAAAAATTGGATGGAATAAGATGATAGTTCTGAAATCTAATATAACAGCAGAGTGGAGGGAGAGGTTGATAACGGAAGCTTTATTTATCGAATCAACTGAAGAGAATACGTGTAATAGGAATGATTCAACACGTGTCCAACCGGACATCTGGAAAATTCTACTACCCCATTAACGACAAATAGGAGAGAACAAAGAAAACCATGAAACTCAAGTTTCGAAGTTGTGTGATTATAAGTGATGAAATGGTTATGGACAGTAATACATTTTAATAAAGGTATTACCCAATGAATAAAAAACAAAACGATACTGTTTTTGCTGACGTTTCGCTATTTAATGCTAATAGCTTCATCAAAGTATTATTAATTAGTAATGCATTTTGTTCGAAACGTTATCCATTAAATAATACTGTTTCATTGTGCGATACATCTAATAAGCCAACTAACATGGAATCCAGGGTATAATAGCTTAAAGAAACGAAAATAACTCTGCAATACAAAGTTTGGAATGTTACTTCTGATGACACTGCCTACCATGCATTTGCTTTTAACGTTTTTTATCTCAACTAAACTTGGTGTTTAACTAATCTCATCAATTCTATTTTTTCTCCACTAGCAATTTTCTTTCACACACAAACTGAAAAGTTTCATTTGAGACACTTAAACTAATAAAATTTCCTCATAATTAATTCATCTAAATAGATTTTTAACTTTTCGGACTAAAACACTTTAAAGATACAAATTGATTTTTGTTTTTGTTGCCTAATTTCATACCGTGTCACTCTCTAAATGTCTAAATGAAATTAATGTTGGAAAAAAGACGGATTAATTGAATTTTCTCTTATTCAAACTCCTATGAGACAAAAATGGTATAATGTTCAGATATACTGTGGAGGCGCATGATGGTAACAGTTACTCTTCGTGAGCAAATACTTGTTTTTATAGAATATTGCGGAATAATGAAAAACGGTCATCTATTGGCGTTATCGTGTCTGATTATGTTTTTAAGCAGCTTGAGTTATAAACCTCCATTGCACCAGTAAACATCGATTGGTCAACTAGCAGGTGATAAGCTCGAGAAAGAGGGAAAATTGAATGTGGGACAAGCATCGCTAGTGAAACTGTTCAAACATGAATCCTTGTTTACCAATGAGAACGGAAGGAGTGGAGGAAAACACCAATCTTCAGCGGTCATATTTACAAAATAAACAGTCTCTATTATCACTACTTAATTATTCGCTTTGTTTGTTGTTTCTTTAGAAGGCCTACTAATTTTAGTAAACAACGTCTCCCTTTTGATGGCAATAGATGGTTGGAGGCGATCGGCAGGAAGTCTTGGACCTTATTTTTCGTACTAGTTGGCACTCATAACCAAGGCACATCTGCAGTCTTGAAGGAATTCATGTCTCTTCTGAGACTCGAACCGGCGTCACACAGCGAGGTTGCAATCAGAGACGTTACCGCTGATCTATTCGGGCTCGAGAGTGATCTCCTGTAGGACTCTGGTGAGTACCTTAATTGGTCACCTGAGACATCAATCATCCCAATCAAAGTATCCACTGCAGTCCTACAGGAGGTAAATCTCGAGGCCAAACAGCTCAGTGGTAACGTCTCTGACTGCAACCTCACTGGGTGATGAAGGTTTGAATCTCAGAGGTGACATGAGTTCCTTCAAGGTTGCAGATACGCCTTGTCGACGAGTGCCGACTAAAACGAAAGCTAGATCGAGCAAGGCTTCCTGTGGCCGATTACCACCAACCATCTAATATCATCAGATCAATGTTCACCGTGTTGGTGAGCTATCTAGAATGGTGGCCACATTGCCATCCTGACTGAGAGAATCCAATCTGCATCAAGGAAAGGAACAGACACATCACACTAGTTACTAGTGTCCAATTAAAGCAACATCTCTTTCATTAGAAAAGACAGTTGACAGTTTAACCAAGTTGTTCAGTATTTTCATCATACAGTTAGTGTTTTACTAAGCGTGTGATAAAAACTATCAGAGAATATACTGCATTTTTATGTCATCATATCTTGAAATAATGTAAAACAAGAACTTACGTATCCACAAAATGGAATCATATTCTGCATTATCATCACATAATGACTCATCAGGATGTAGGCTGACGTGCTTACCTACAAACAAAAATAAAAATCTTACATTGGGGAAGAATATTTGAAGAAAATCAAGATGAGCGGGTTACTTACATTTATTCTTTTATTAATTACTCAATAGAGACAAACTTGTTTACCTGTACGAAAATGTAGTAAATAATCCAAGTTTTACCAAAATGTTCTACAGTATCTCTTATCATTGTAATTATTTAATTTAAATTTAGTCTTTTTTGACCTCAACTATAGATTATAAGTGAGATAATAAATTTATTATTCATAACGAGGCTGGGGACTGTCCACTAGGAAAAAACTGTTCCCGTCTCCTCTGCTGTAGAATAGCATGGATCCGAAGTTGAGACAGGTTTTTGATACTGCACTTGATGAAAACGTTTTTCAGATGGTCTTTTGAGAGGGACATGAGTAAGAACTATTTACACGTGGTCGCCAGCTCAATTCCAAAGAGAACCATCTTTATAAATTTGTAGTCATAAGGCGATTAGGCCTCAGATATACATAGAAATAATCTATCTAAATAAGTCAGTAAGCTGTTCTTTATACAGAAACTTCAGTTTGTCTTTACTAGTCATAAACCATTGTTGGTGTGTATAAAAGTTTAGCTTTCTTATCTTGATGACTCCATGTACGTTTCCCTGTCCACCCATCGGCCGAAGCAAAGTACTGGATTCCATACAGATTTGAAAGCATATTCCATTTCGGCCTTTGTTAAGCATAAAAAAATATTTGTAGTTAGCTGTGTTCCAAAGCATTTGCCAGTGTTCCCCCAGTCAGGTAATCCCGATAATGAAAGCTTCGACATCGCTTCGTCTGTAAATAGCGTTTAAAGAGTGCATGCAGCCCCTGACTAATCATGGGCTAAATCTACGGCTCTGTCTTCACTTTGAAAGAAGTAAGACAGGAAAGGAAAATCACTTATTAATTTTTTCCTGTGTGTTTCATTTGTTTTTACTACTGTTGTCACTGCTAAATTCACTTTTTAGACAGTTTTTCTTTTTAGTAACTAAATGGACTATCTTGTACAGATTTTGTCGATTTTATTTTACGTCCTTTCATTTGTCTAGTAATTTCATTAATGTCACGCCCTCTATTAAGATGTTCACATTCGCCTTTGTTAAGTATCATTCATTATCTGTGATTATAGCTGCATTTTGTCTAAATCAACATTATTATTTTTATTATTATCATTATTGTTTCCTTCAAAATATCATTGTAATAAGCCCTGAAAAATTGTTTTTATAATCGTTTGTTACAGTGATAATGACACTAAGCCTACCAGAGAAACGTCAACGATCAAATAGCAAAGTTCGAAAGGAAAATGCTAAACAATGTTTAATGAACAATGCAATCACTCTGAACAATATTACTTCATAGCATACAATACGACAAATACTAGCTTCACAAGGCACACATTTTCTACATTAATTTAAAAAAATAATGAGAACAATAATCTATGCAATCCACGGTAAATAATAACATGAAAGAGTCAGTTTTCTATTGCTTAGCCAATAATAGGCTGTTAGTAGTAATATATTCTAAATCAATAAAAGAGGCAATTTAAGATATTACTTTTGATCATGAAATAACTTCACTTAGAGGAACATGACGAATCACGGATGATGTGATAGTTGTTTCTCACTTGCTTAGGACTCTTCAACAATACACACTTATGAACCGACTAGGGACCGAACTCAGATTCCAAGGCGAGACGGAATCCATTGGCCCATGGGTTAATGATGTTTAGAGGATGTCACCGGCAAGTATGTGTCTTCGTGCACCCGACTTGGCGAATACAACTAAGTGACCATGACAAATGAAATCTTATAAATGATTTGCAATTATAGTCTCAAAACCCCAAAATGTATACAACTGTAAAATTCTATTGTTTATTATTACTGTTATTATTATTATATCCTTTAATTCCTAGAGGGAAATAGGGCTTCAGCTGCGTATCTCCATTGCGTTCGGCTCTCTGCCAACATTTTCACCTGGCTCCAAGTCTGCTCAAACGCTTTCAGCTCCTCTTCCCATGACCTCCTCCAAGTCACCCTCACACTGACGACCAACTCGCCGCTTCCCTTTCGGCCTGGTTCCACTCGGGCAATGGCTTGTCTAGTGATGTCACTTGATGGTTTCCTCAGCGTACGGCCAATCGATCTCCATTTCTTCCTGCCTATTTGTTTCACAATCGGTTCCTGAATGGTTGGTTCGCTCTCACAGATCCCTGTTGCTGATCTTTTCTGGCCGTCAACCTGATCTTGAGTATTGAGCGAAGACAACTGTTGATGAAGGTCTCTAGTTTGTTTGGAGTGTTCTTCATGACGCGGCGCCAAGTCTCTGATCCGTATAGTAGGACTGACTCCACACTGGAATCAATAATCCGGATCTTATTTTTGATGCTGAGTGCTGTTGACCTCCACACAGACTTGAGAGTTATGAAAGCTTGTCTTGCTCTTCCGATTCTTGCTTTGATATCTTCGTCAGTTCTGTCCGCCTGTAGTTGAAACGATACTTCCCAAGTAGGTAGGTGGAGGAGGTTGTTTCTTTCAGGTTCCTCCCATTCATGCTGGCTGATTGTTGTCTGTTGTTGTTGCTGTTGGTGTTGGCCAGGAATCTTCATCACCTCTGTTTTATCTATGTTCACTTGAAGTCCTATCTTTGATGCTTCTTCTGCCAACTTGTTTCTTTTCACTTGCATATCTTTCAGTTTGTGGGAAACCAGACATTTATCATCATCGGCGAAGTTCAGATCCTTCAAATTTTTTGTGTGAGTCCATTTTATGCCTGTTTCCTCATTGGCCGTTGTCTGTCTCATTATCCAATCTACTGCAATCAGGAAGATCATTGGTGATAGTAGACATCCTTGCCTCACTCACGTCCTCACTTCAAAGGCTTCCATAAGTTTCCCATTGTGGATTACTTGGCATTCAGGATTGTCGTATAATTGTTGGATGAGATGTATTATTGTCGGTGGGACCCTGTAGTAGCGAAGAAGTAGCCAAATGATCTCACGATCGACGCTGTCTGCTGAATGTCTTTTAAAAGTCGATGAAGTTGAGATAGAGAGGTGACTGCCACTCCAAGCTTTGTTCAATGATCATCCATAATGTGGCGATTTGATCAATACATGGCTTGTTTCTCCTGAATTCAGCTTGCTCCGGTCGAAATTTTTCATCTAGGGCTTGTTTGATTCTCTCCAGGATGATGCGGCTTAGTATTTTACTTGTGATAAACAGGAGCATAATTCCGCGCCAGTTTTTGCATTGACTTAAGTCTCCTTTCATTGGTAGTTTGAATAAGTATCCTTTCTTCCAATCCTCGGTTACTTTGCCCTCTTTCCACACCTTCTCTTGTAATAGCGTCATCACGTCCGCTGTGGTTTCTGGGTCAATTTTCAATGCTTCTGCTGGGATTCCATCTGGTCCTGCTGCTTTTCCAGCTTTTAGCATCTTGATTGCATTCAGGACCTCTGATTTCGTCGGGGGGTCGATGTTCAGTGGTAGTTCTGCTTCCGTTGTTAGTATTGTTGGGCGCGTTGTTGGTGGCGGTCGATTTAGAAGTCTTTTGAAGTGTTCATCCCAGTGTTTTCTTTGCTCCACTTCTTTGGTGATTGACTTTTCACTGTAATCCCTTACTGGCTTAATCTGTGTCGAATTTTTTCCCGATAGGTTCCTAGTTGTTTGGTATAGAATGGCGAGGTCTCCTTTGCATGCAGCTTGTTCCGCTGGAGACCTTTATTGTTTACATACAATATAAGGATGAGTGTTTTAAATATCATAAATTATTATTTTAACATGCATTGAAAGTAAGCACATTATATATATTCAGTAGATTAACATGGAGTGTTCATTAATATCCAAATGAAAAATGAAAGAAACACACGATGTATTGAAAAAATTCTGTATTCGCATATTTTTTCTGGTTATACATGATAAATGTTCATTTTTTATTATTATTTTAGAAGCTAACTACTTGTTAACTGTCATTTGAAGAGAGAATAATAGAGATATAATTTCGAGTCATTATTTTATTGCCTGTTGTATCGTTGTTGTTGTTGTTGTTGTTGTAGGTTCACTATGTTCCCCCCAATAAATCAACATGTTGATTACCCGAAAAAAATGATATTGTTGGAATTATCCAGAAAAATCTGTTGCATGGAATTTTACTTCCTTTCTCGTTTAATTTTTTTTAAATCCATAATAATAAAGTCAACAACAAGAAAATCGGTCATACAGAAATGGAGCGATCAAGATTAATCAAACTCACTGTGTATAACATTGATAATTTTTCCCGGATCATTCTTGTTAACAGGTAGGAAATAAACACATTGATAAACTGGTCTGAAATAATTCAAATGTAATTAATTACTTTTAATACCATAGAAAAACAAACTGATTTTTTATTTTTATTTTTAGTAAAAAATGCTCTCCATCAAAATCCTAACAAATAAATTCCCCATAAATCAGAAATAACATTGGACAGTAGTTTCTCAATGTTTCACTGTCTTCACAGTGCTATATTTTGTTGAGAATGTGAACTAGGACTTTTAAAAGCTTTCAGTCAGCATCTTCGTACCGAGTGATATCGGTACTCTTGAAGACTTAACACTGGGAAATGAAACTTAATTAATACACTTGAGATATAGTAGAATAGCATAGGTTAAATATAAATTTATTCGACACTTCAGGAGGTGCATCGTATTCTCCACTGATGATCACCATTTATTATTATTGTTCCCCTAGGTTCCGCGTGGAATCTAGTGCTTCAGAATCACATCTTTATTTCATCCTTTTAGTTGACTGCACAATTGCTCCCCTCCTCCTCACATGTTATCCACCTGACGGTCTGTCCGCCCAGTGCATGATTCCACTTAGCGGGGTCCTTAGCGTGTATCTAATTCATCCCCATATATTTATGAGATAACAGGTTCCTGGTTGGTTTCACATCTAGCAGAGTTCCTTGTTTTTATTCCTTTCTGCCATCTAATCCATACTATGCAACGAAAGCAGCTATTTATAAAAGTACGCAGTAGCCTTTCGGAAATGCTTGAGGTGACAGGTCAAGTCCCCTAAATCATATAGAAGGAGTGATTTGACTTCATTGTCGAAATGTCGCTTTCTTCGTTATGCTGAATGCAACCTATTTCTAAAATGAATTTGATAAATATGAAGTTTGCTTTGCTTTTACGGTCCCGGATTTGACATCCTTGCCCTAGAGTCTATACTTAAAACAATATTGCCTAGATAAGTGATAGAAGTGGCTTCCATCAAACTGCCTTAGTTGATGGTGGGTGGTGTTCATTGTTGGTTGGGCATCTACATCACCTATGACTTCTCTATTATCACTTGACATCCTGTCTGCGCTACTTCTTTTGTGAGTCTTCCAGTGTGTATAGTACAAGGCTTAAGCAGTCCACAAATTCCAGGTCTTTTAGATCCCTCTTGTTGACCAAATGTATTCCTGTCTCATTACTCAGCCTCGTCTTCTGTATCATGGAAACCACTACAATCAGGTATCTCGTCGGTGATAGTAACAGGCTTATCGTATTTTATACTTTACCTCAAAGGCTTTAGTGAGATTTTCGTTGCGAATTGTTTGACATGTAGCACTATCACACGACTATTAAATGAAGCTGGCAAAGTATGGTAGTACTTCTAAATTAAGAGTCAATCTGAACGAAGAATATTCTTTTCAATAATTTATATTTGGCACAGTGGTTAAGACTCTCGCCGACCATGCACATGGTCCGGGATTCGAGCCGACGCTGACGCACACCTGATATCTATGGTTGGCCTGCAAATTTTGGGCTACCGATATCCACGCTGAAAATTCCACACTCGTACCAAAAATACGGTGTGGAATCAAGCTGTAACCAAAAGAAATATTTGTTGTCGTTACAATAATGATAGCCAGTTATGTGGCGGATACATTTTTCACGTAGGATAACAGGTTAGTTACGGAGTGTCAAAATAAATATTTGTGTGATAAACGTGCTAGGCTGAAATCGATTACAAAATATTGTAAAATGGTAGACAATGATGGTGATTAGTTACTAATAATAAGTCCGGATAGTATAGATGGAAAAGTCGATAGTATTGAGAGAATTTTTGCATGAAATGCATAAATTATGACAAATAATAATAACTGTTACAATAAGTAAAGGAAAAAAAACCAAGAGGGTTAAGGCGAAGAAGCACTCTTGATGAGCAGAAGAATCATCAATCTAAGTTTGGCCACGGTAGGAACAGCGTCTGGACGTGTTTTATTTGGATACAAAGTTCAGGTTTAGTCGATCATATTGCAACAGCTTCAGCTACATGTAGGAGACGTAAGCAAACTGTACGTGATAAGGACTTCGGAATTCGGTATATAACCCTGAAAGCTGTCTTGACATCGGCACGATGTCCGGTATCGATCAAGTGTGACGGGACCAAGCTTTTTATACACTTAATTTCCCCCTGCTGAACCAAGCTGGTAAATGTTCTGGAACCCGTAGACGAACCTGCCTTTGTACTAGCCACTCACCTGACACCTTTTATAACTTTCAACTGACTTGTCAGTTTTCCTACCCCACACTCTACAAATCTCTTATGTCTAATCACCACCATTGTCTACCATTTTACAATTTTTTGTAATCGATTTCAGCCTAGCACGTTTATCACACAAATATTTATTTTGACACTCCGTAACTAACCTGTTATTCTACGTGAAAAATGTATTCGCCACATAATTTTGTTATTTTATTTATTTTTTTATTTTTTATTTTTGGTAACAGCTTGATTCCACACTGTATTTTGGTACAAGTATGGAATTTTCAGCACGGATATCGGTAGCCCAAAATTCGCAGGCCAACCATAGATATGAGGTGTGCGTCGGCGTGGGCTCGAACCCCGGACCATGTGCATGGTCGGCGAGAGTCCTAACCACTGTGCCACCAACGCACACTGGCTATCATTATTGTAACGACAACAAGTATTATATTTTATAACTGTAAGAAGCTAAATATAAATTATTGAAAAGAATATTCTTCGTTCAGATTGACTTTTAATTCATGATATGAGAATATTTCACACTGTTAAATCTTATACATCCAAATTAATTCGCAGTCAACACTGTAAAAGCCTTGTGTTAGACAACTGTCCATTTTATGAGATTAAAGGAGGATCATATATTACCTGAACTATAACAGTTGGTCTGATAGAAATTCGAACATGGATCTTATTATTCTATTTCAGTTTATGAAACGCTGACAAGCCGAATAACAATATCCACAAGCGATTATAGACTGACTAAGTTGTACATTCATTCAATTGGTGGACTACCGTTACTATGAGAAGAGGGAAATACAACTATTGTGAACGCTGAACTATTTAAGAGACAGTCTAACATTAGTCAGTATTATAGTTTTTCACAAAAGGCACATAAAATAACAGTTTTCCTTACAGTCTAAATCCTATCGTGATGTGATATAATTATCTTGAACTATAACAAAAAAAACAATAATGCATGTCTGACTATGCGAATTCAGTTCAATTTTTCACTCGGGAAATGGTGGCAGATTTTTCTAGCACACTATAGTGAAATGTAAATTAAATATGAAATCCTGCCTAAATATAACAGAATAAAATGGCCGTTGCTCTAGGAACTTGATTTTTTGTGCTCGCCAGAGAACATCTCCACTATGGCTAAGTAAAGGTGTAGTTAAAACCATTAACAGTTCTATATTGAACCATCTGGTCCAAACTGGCCACAAAGCCAGCGTGGAAGAATCCTTCTCTATAATCTACCGGGTGCCTAATAAACTGCCAAAATCATCGAAGGACCGCATGCTCCAAACAGAAGAGGCTATTGCCATTCGCCTCAAACAACCAGTGCTCTATGTTCGAAAGAAGCTGGTCCAGTCAAACACTATTACTACCCTGACCAACCTTCCGTAAAGACTAGAAATTCCTGAATTTGTACTATTAACTTTCTTAATTTTTCTGACATTCAGCTTATTTTATGTTGATGCTATTGAGCTGTAATCTATTGATATTATTGATTCGATGTTATTTAAACAGCATTCATATTGTTCATAACACTAGTTCATTCATTCATTCCCTATAATGTATATATAACTGTAGAGCCTGATGATAAAGTTATCGAAAATAGTATTCTTTGTTCAGTATCCATTCTTTTAAAATAGAAGTCTTTCCACTAGCTCCAACTTTCAAACTATAAAATATCATTTAAACAATAAGTTTCTGTCAAACATGAAGATCCCTTACAAAATTTACCTCTGATCTGATCAACACATAACGTTGAGTTAAGTGAGGTGTTTTTGTAATTTGCATTTTCGGTGTGAGACTGAATAAAATTCAAAATCTACTTATTTGTGTTAATCACTCGTCCATTCTTCACCGTATTTTATAAAGTAAAGGCATTCATATAATTTTCGCATTTTCATATGATCAGCTGAGTCTACACAGGCTGGGGTTGACTGTAACAAGTGACTTCACATAAATTTTTCAGACATTAGAGTGCTTACTCGTTTGGCGGGACATTTCTCCTCCAATATATAAAAGCTGAATTATATTTATTCATTTTTTTTATTTTATTTTTGATTACAGCTTGATTCCATACCACATTTTTGGTACAAGTATAGAATTTTCAGCGTGGATATCGGTAGTCCAAATTTTGCAGACCGACCATAGATATGAGGTGTGCGTCGGCGTCGGCTCGAACCCGGACCATGTGCATGGTCGGCAAGAGTCCTAACCACTGTGTCACCGACGCAACTAAATCATACATACGATCACCTAACTACATACTAAATGTAGAGAAAATATTCATTCAGACACTTAGAAAAAACAAATGAGCAAAGAATATCCTTATCAATAATTTCCTAATCTGGCTCTACAATTATATATATATATATATATATATATATATATATTCCATTATGGGTAAATTTTTGTTTTGATAAAGTCTCACAGTGTTATACAGTAATGTTTACTGATGACGTTTCGAGCACAAATTATTGCTCATAATCATATCAATCATATCATACTCTTATATCGATATATATATATATATGTAGAATATTCTAGAATAATCGGCAGTAACGGTACTGGTGTTTTCAAATATTTCGATTGATTAAGATAAATGAGATTACGTTTCAAGGAAGATACTTAAGTTATCATTAGCATAAAAATGTAATAGAAAATCGAATATCAAATAAAAATAAGGGAATTTCCACAATAAATTGAGGATCACTAAAACCTTGATGACTAGGGTGTGGACAGTGTCTCAACCAACTTCTTTTGGATACATGAGTAAGGTTTCTCAAAGTAGATTCCAACAGCTTCAGCAGTATGCAGTAGACGAACTCCTGAGGTAAAGTTAAGATTAGTTAGTATGCCATAGATGACTTTGAAAGCCTCATTAAACATCCATCTTGTGTTCTGTTTCTATGAGATGGGATAGAATAGAGCTATGAACGGATTTTGTTTGTCCTTTACTTAACTAGGAAGGACAGTGTTCTGAACTGCAATTTCATTTATCTTAACAAATTGATACCATTTAAAAGCACCAATATTATTAATGACGATTGTTCAGAACATTCTGTGCATATATATATATATATATATATATATATATAACTGTAGAACCACAAGATGAAATTATCGAAAAGGAAATTCCCTGCTCAAGTTCTTTTTCTACAGTGTAAATATTGATTTCTGACTGTGCATTTTTTCTGAAGTTATTTATCAACATCGATACAGGTGAATAATAACATCTCAGACTTACCCAGAATTTGGTATGTCAATTTTTACGACATATTTGTTGAATTTCCCAAGGATAAACTTTTCACATATAATACGGTAGTGTACAAGATGTACAAAAATGTTTTCCTTTCTAACAGATATCTCTTCAGAATTCCACAACGGCATATTCCGGCTGCACCAATCACCTTCACCGAATGCAGTCAAGCCATTGAATAATGCATGCAGTTGACTAAAACTCTCTTTTGGCTGTGAGCCTCGTTTAATGCTGATATGCTGATAGGAATTTAAACAGAGCTGTTGTATCCATAATATGTCGGTATTTGATGAAATAAGCATTTGATTCCATCCTTCAGCAGCGGCCGTTAAATCGAAGCCTTGCTTGACAGCAAAACTTTGCTGATAATCATTCAGATTAAAAGATACTGGTGGCAAACGATAACCATCATGTGTCCACCAGAGTTGATTTGGTTTTAGAAAGGTGTTTTGTGAAAACTGACAGCCCGATTCTGTACAGTAGGAGTTGCCGGCTAGCAGTAGGGTGTAAACTATGAAAAGACGGGCAACAGATAAAAGCTTCACTACTAAAAAGGAAGAGTTCTTCAAGAATACATACATATAGATAAATTACACTTTTCTGAGTTTATGATGCTATTTTTTAACTGCGCTGTTGTTCTAAGAAACGAAAAATGCAATTTACAGAAGAACTACGCCACAATTCCTTATTCTTTTTATTTTTCTTTACAGCTTGATTCCACACTGTATTTTTGGTACAAGTATGAAATTTTCAGCATGGATATCGGTAGCCCAAATTTTACTGGCCGACCATAGATATGAGGTGTGCGTCGGCAGGGGGATCAAACCTCGGACCATGTGCATGGTCGGCGAGAGTCCTAACCACTATGACACTGACGCAAAGTCTGTGACTGAGTTATTGAGTTCTTTATTCATTTTAGCATTTAAATTACAAATCTAAGAAAGTGAATCGAACAAAATAAAACTTATAATGACATGTTTAGTAAAGGAAAAGTTACTGAATGCTTAGAACCTAGTTATTTCATACATGAATGCATTTAAATTAATAGAAGTGACAACCACTTTAAACAGAGTAACGTCTGCTTCGAAATCTAAGTTTGCTGTTAACATTGTGTCGGAGGGAATAAAATAATCCACTGACAATGATTTTTGCTTAACATGTTTTCAACCTGGGAAACTTGTTTATTTTCACTGGACACTAGTAAATTGTTTATCTATATCTGTAAACGTATGCCTCTGGAAGCTTGGAATAGGAGTCCTCAGCAAAGATTGTCAGTGAGGTGTGATTCTGAAAGTCAGTTAATTTCCTTAGTAAAACCACAGTAAATTTGAGAAATTATTTTGCGACGAGTTGGGCTCAAATCAACCTCAAACTGTTAAGCTGCAAAATCCAAAGTATTGTGAAGTTTCCAAACCATTGTCCAGCTTGCTATTCTACTGTTATATATACGTATATATATATATATTATATATATATTCGGCTTCATATGGGGGTACTTTTATAAAATGTGACCCTAACAGTGAACATGCCAAAAAGGGAGACAACTACACATAGATGTTGTTTATCGTCCAAAGAATTCAAATCTACTTTATATGATTTTAGGGACTGTTGTGAGATATGTGTTCGTTGAAAAGTGAGCTTTAGTGCAACGTACAGAAGAGTTACTTCATTTGGCTTAGTTACCACACTGTACTTGTAATCAGTACATATCGGTTGACAAAATATCAGGGTAACACTTCATTTGTTACTATATTATCAAAAAATGTTGATGGAAGCTTTATCTAATTATTTATCTTGCATCGTTGTGTAATGTATGAACAAAATCTAGTATGGTATTCATATTTACACTGTGTAATATTCACAGATCTAAATCGTTTAAAATATCCTCAGAAATATGTTTTCATTTAATTTATATGACTTCATTTATCTGGATATATTATTCACCAAGTCCCATTATTGAGAAAATGCATATTGATACAGTTTCACATTGTTAAACAGTAATATTTGCTGATGACGTTTAGACAATCTGACTACCCCCGATCTACTCTTTCGACCCATACAGTTGACCTCACAGTCATTGCAACGTATTTTGTAAAAATTAAATTATTTTGTTGAATTGTCTCAGCAGGGTCATTTAACCTATGGCGCTTGTCGCTGATTAGGTCTATAGGTTAGAAAACCACCCTAATTCCTGCTGTATTAAGAATCTTACCTAGGGCCACTGACGTCTCCTTCTTATTCGATAAAACTCTAAATGTCTTATATTCTTTCTTATTCATGTTTTCTTTATTAATTTTACCATTATTTTTATTTTGAAGAAAATAAAAGACAATTCAGAGAAGAAAATTTTCTTTATCGACGAAATCGTCTTCAGAAGCTGTATAGCTCGTATTTATATTTTTACGAGTTTGACCATGGATTGATATCAGTTAGAGAACCACTGAAAACCAGGAAGTACTGGACATCTGTTTCACCATATTTTGGAAATGATTGGCAGTACGCAGCCACTGCCAGGGTTCAAACCCAGGACCTTCCGGTTACAAGGCAAGCTGGCTCGTATACCATTCAGCTACTGGGACCTTATTCACTGGCCAGCCCATAAACTCTAACTTCTACCAATTCGTGATTTAGTGCGGCCACCAATCATTTTCATCGGCGGGACATCCGTCCTCATACTTGTCAGGATGGACCTCCTTGGCCACGGCTTCTGATTAGAACTCCAGGAAACTCCGTCCTATGTTTTTACTTACCAAAAATGTATAGTATTCCATTACTGAGTAATAGGGCGAAGGTTAACATAATTTATAGAATTACTCAGTAGTAGCTTCAAAAAAAGCGAAAGTTATGCATTAAATCATGCTCAACGACACAAAGGAAGAAAGGGTTAAACATTTGATAAGGTTAAAGCTCTTATTGTGTGAGAAGAAAGGTGGTTGAATATCAAGTTGAGTACCACTTAACAAGTGTGAAGGGGGTGAGAAAATGTACAAAAGGAACATGTTAGAGTGATAATAGTGAGTTAATTATTGAAGCAAAAACAAACAAAAATTACAGGGAACACTTAATCAAAAGGTTAAGACCATGGTAGAATAAGACAATAAGGGTTATATTTACGAATCGCCAACGCTTTCGCCATACACAAATGTAGAAACCCACAACTTTATGTACTATTCGGTTTTACCTTGTAAATAATTTTGAAAGATGACTCTGGCAGAGCTGTGCGGCTTCAGTTCACCAAGTGCTCGAGAATTGAGCTAGTAATTGTTTTGCATTATCCTTTTGCTAACCATACTGTCATAATGTTCAAAGGTGTGTTAGGAAAGTACACGCTTTGGTGGCCAATATAACTAGGATATAAAAATAATAACTAGCTTCACAGGAATAGATGGATTTATAAACAAACATCGAAGTGACCCGAAGCAGCAGTTTGTGGTGAATTTGTCACATCAAAGATTTTACACGTAGTGCTACTTTCTCTTTTTGCACTTTCGAAAGACCCTATAACTGGGGAATTACAGATCCCATGGGTCATATTCTCTCAAATAATTCAGAGTCATTAATTAATTCGTTCTTCATCTTCTTCAGTACTTCTGTTATGTTTCCATCAGTTCCTTCAGTTCTGTCTTTCAGGTTATTTGTCTTTGAAAATTCATTTTCATCTGATATTGTGGGTAACATTTTATTGATGAAGTCTTGGCGATTCATTAGGATGACGCCAGTATCTTTATCGGACGGGTCAACACCAAGTTTTTATTACTTAAAATCTCATATAGTTGCTTTCTGTGCTCAGCTGAAATAAAATGTTTGACATACTGATGACGGCTGTTCAATTCTGCAGACTTAAATTGTTCATATGGTTTGTTTGACTCTGGGGTGAGATCACTTGTCCGGTGGATCAGTGCTATAAACTGGACTTTTATGTGCAAGTCACACTCATTTGTCGAAATGTCACATAAATCTGGACTCAACGATAAAGCTTGCAATTGGATACTGGAGTAGTTGAAAACGGATTTCTCTGGTGTGGCAGGAAAACGCGAATGAGTGATAGTTGCTTTAGGACTATTCGCGAGTTTCAGGTTTACATCTTCACAACGTCTTCTTGATCCATAAAATTCATAACTTTTATTTTTATTTTTGAAGCCACCAATGAGTAATTCTATCAATAATGTTACCACCCCCCCACACACACACACTCTATTATTCAGTAATGGACTGCTATGCACTTTTGGTAAATATGAATACAGCTGTACAACTTCTGAAGAAGATTTCGTCGATGAAGAAGATATTCTTCTCTGCAATGTCTTTAATTTTCTTCATGACTCATTGGGTATTTTTGGGCACTTTTATTTTGCTTCCAACTTTTTGTGATCTTCTTATTGAATTTTATAGAAGTTATTTGATACCAACTCTTCTTCTACCTGCGCAATTTCGTCATTTATGTCTTTCCTTGTGCCACGTAGTGCTACTGCTCAGTCTGTTAGATACTTAACTAAGCCTGCCTTAACAGTTAACGGATGAGACGAATTAAAGTTTAAATATCTATCTATGCGTTGGTTTTCTATAAACACTAGTGTGTAGTTTGCCTTCTTCTATTCGTTTTATTTTACAATCTAACATCATAGCTAATTCTCCTTGTTCATTTTCCGATTCAAATGTGAATTTTATTCCCTTCACTGGTGAGTTTATATGTGTCAAGAAGCTAGAGATATGTTCTGTTTTTACCGACGTGAAAGTGTCATCCACATATCTCCACCATATCTTTGGAGTAAAATTAAACGTATTAAGAGCCATAATTTCCCAGCTATTCATAAAGATATTTGCTACAATTAGGGATATTGATGGTCCCACTGATGCACCTTCTGTTTGTCACTATATTTCAAAGACATTAAACTTGAGGCATAACTGAATTCCTAAAATAATTTCCTCATTGGGTTGCTTCATCCTGCGAGTAAGTTCAGGATCAGTATTTAGTTCTCATTAAACTGCTTCTAAGACAATATCGATTGGTAAATTAGTATAAAGATTATTTATATCAAAACTAATCATTATTCTCTAACTGAATGTCATTTAAGATTTCATCATGAGCTGACAGTAGTTTGAGAACCATTGGAAAACCTGGGAGTACTGGACAGCTGTTTCGTCCTAGTTTGGGACTCTTCAGCAGTACGCAACCACTTGGGTTCGAACCCAGGACCTTCCGGTTACAAGGCGAGCTCGTATACCATTAAGCCACTGGGACCCGATCCAATGGTCCTTGAATTCTAACTTCTGCCAATTCACGACATAGCGCGACCGCTAGCCAATGTCTTCGGCGAGTGTTTGTCCTCACACCCGACCAGCTGCACCCTACTGGTCACGACTTCCCACTGGATCGGGTCCCAGTGGCTTAATGGTATACGAGCTCGCCTTGTAACCGGAAGGTCCTGGGTTCGAATCCCGGCGGGTGCGTACTGCTGAAGAGTCCCAAACTAGGACGAAACAGCTGTCCAGTACTCCCAGGTTTTCCAATGG